GGGCGCTCGGGTCCTCGCGATCCGGGCCCCAGGAGGCTTCCGGGGCGGGGCGGGCGGGGCGGCGGCTGTCGGGGTGCAGCTTTGGTGTGGAGGGGTCTCCGTGCACCGACCCCGAAGTTTCTGGGGAACCCCTGTGAAGGCTGTGGAGTAGTGAGCCGTCACATCACTTTTCTTCCGGTTTTTTCCCCCGGTATATATAAAACGAACGCATTTTCATTTTATGTGGAAATGACTTTTGATACCCATTGTGATTAAAAAGAGGAATTCAAGACATTATTACTTAACGTGCGAGAAAAATGGAAGTAATTTCAGATCTTCCAGTGGGGGTTCAACCCTTGCCCAGAAGAATGGTTTTATACATCAGAATGGGGTGTGAGCACCTATTTTGGCCATTGGGATGATATTTTCCTTTGAGTTAGTGTAGAGCTCTGAAATGAGACAAAGCCTGAGTCTGCTGTATTCGCTGTGAATTGTGAGGTGTGGTTATCTCATTTCGTGAGGTGGACTTTGTGAAGTATTGAATGATGCAGCGTGCCGCCCTGCGTCGAAAGACTCATTCTTGCGAGGATAAAGCCCCCGTGGGCTGAAGTGCGTTAAATGTAAGAGCTGGCACTTCGTGTCACTTTAAAGGAGATCAAGTTAGCATTTAAATGAAACGTTGTTGTTTCATTTAAATACATGAGTTAAATTTTAAGTATGTGTATTTCTAGAGCTGTAATGAGTGTGTGTACAAGATTGAGTACTTTAATGTTGGACTGCCATTAAAACGGGGATGCCAACAACAGATATATCTGAAATTTGGGGTGCATGAAAAAATGCATAGGGAAGGGGTGGGGGAAACGGCGTGAAGTCATTACACCTTATTAATTATAAGAATCTAAATGTTTCTCCTTTGTCATAATCTTTGAAGCATTTAGTGATTTTCAGCTATCTACATCCTTTTAAACTTAAAGTGCTTTTATGATGTAGCATGGAACCTCAAGCATTTTAGCTGCATTATAGTTACAAAGTAAAAAATGGTCACATTGAAGTACAGAACTGCTGCCAGCTTGTAAATTTAACCAACACACCATGAACGTACTGGCCAACCTGATATTTAGCAGTTCCTATTGTTTACCAGCCTCTGAGTTAATGCATCCAGTAGGAACAGACTTTGTTGGTGCTTGCTACATTAAGAATTATTACCTATGTGCTTTATTTTGAGTCAGTACCACTGCACATATAAAGTGCAGTGTGACATCCCAGTGCATATATGCAAAGTCTAATGATCGTATCGAGGTAACTGGTCTATCTGTCATCTCTGACATTTATTACTTCTTTGTGTTGAGAACATGCACAGACCTCTCTAGGAGCATTTTTAAATACAGTTGTCATCAGCTGGTCACCTTGCTGTGCTACAGAACTTGAGAAGTTATTTCTCTGGTCACCCACACTCCTCTATCCACTCACTGTCCTATCTCAGCTCCTTCCTCCCACCTTTTCTAAGCTCTGGTAATTATGTCTGTACTTTTATGACAATATTCCAGTCTTTTTGTTAAAGCAGTTTATTTGAATTTCATTGACGTTGTAAATCACTGAGCTGTTCTTGATGATTTGAATGACTTTTCAGTTTTCGATAAATTTGGGCCCCTAATTCTTTATGCCAACTTTTTTCTGACACTTTCTCTTTTTTCCTCTTTTTCTTGTGTTTAGTCTCATGTTTTGTTAGTTTTTAGTTCTAAGCTACCAGATGTTAAAGGGAAGTGGATGGTAATAAAGTTTCAGAGTTGGAGGGCCCTTCAGATTTTAAAAAATCTGTTTTTTAATTCTTTCCGGAAAGATAAACACGTGTACAAGAGGGATGAGAATGGTTAATGTATTTACCCAGTAGGAGGTTTTGATTAGGTTTTTTTCTTCAATTTGAAGGTGACTATTAAGAATATTGAAAGAGAGCTTATTTGCCCAGCCTGCAAGGAGCTGTTTACCCACCCACTGATTCTGCCTTGTCAACATAGCATCTGTCATAAATGTGTAAAAGAACTCTTACTGACTGTCGATGATATGTTCAATGATGTGGGATCAGACAACTCCAATCAGAGCAGTCCTCGACTTCGGCTTTCCTCCCCTAGCATGGATAAAATTGACAGAATTAACAGATCAGGTATGTGGCAGAAGGACCTTGGGGTGGGGGAGCTTATAGATATGTGTCCATTTGTAGTTGTGGAAGGAAAAACTATTTTTTGTCCTTCTGAATGTTAATTTTCTAGGTAAATAAAATTGTAGTTACAAAGGATTCCCCTCCTTAAAAGATCAAAATGGTATCTTGTTACTTTTTAATATATATTTCAAGTGGATGTTAAATATTGAACACCAACTTTGTGCTAAAGTCCTTAACTGTGCCTGTAGTTTTGAGAATGTTCTGCCTCTGTGATATTATTGACATAAAGTAGTGGACTATTAAAATACTAAGAAAAATCCACGTACACTATAGCATTGTACAAAAACTGCGGATCTGGATGGCTAATCCTAGAAAAAAATTTTATTAAGTGAACCTAGAAAGTTTTTTAGATAAATTGTTGGGTATCATTCCTCCTGAGAATTTTATATTTTCCCTTATTTTAAGGATTTTAACTATATGTAGTAGCACACATGACTGTAATTTCAGCTCTCTGGGAGGGTGAGGCAGGAAGAGTGAAGCTTTAAGCCTAGGTGGGTGACTTACAGAGACCTGGTCCCAAAGTAAAAAAATGAAAAAGGGATATAGCTCACTGCAAAGGTCGGAGTTCAGTCCTCAGTATCACAAAAGGATTTTGAACATCATGAATCAGCAGAACTTGTAATAAGGTATACAAGTAGATGTAATTTCATAGCAAGCACGTACATGATATCTTTTGTTATGTGGCCAGTGTCTAAATTCCTGTTGAGATAGTGTTACTTTCTCTTCTGTATGGCTATTGCAGGATTAATGTAGATGAGAAATGATTTAGTATCACTAGAGTTGCTGGAATCCTTAGTATAAAAGTCAGCAGTGGAGAACAAGGTCAGTAGAAGCCCCTGGCCTCAGGTGAAGCGTGCCCTCTGTGTAGAGGGCAGTGTGAGTGGCCAGAAGTCCAGAGTGTGGAGCTTCCACTCTGTCCACTTGGAGCTCTGGAGTGGTTTTTTTTTTTTTTTTCTTTTTTGAAACGTACTCTCCCTATATAGTTTAGGCTGGCCTCGAACTCATAGCAATTCTCCAGTAACGGTTTAATTTTGTAAATTATTTTCAGAAAAGAATCTCTTTCCCTCAGTTGCATTTTAAAAAATGTCATCTTGGCTTTGGTCCACCAAAAAAAAGGGGTGTTATTTTGGGGTGGTATTTATGTGCTTCATCAAAGAGTGAATAAGAGTAATTTGCTTTAAGAGTTTTAGCATGCTATTTTAAAAATGTGTGTTTCTTTTTTTTTAAATGTGTGTTTCTTTTTTTTTTTTTAATGTGTGTTTCTTTAAGCATCAGTCACTACGTGCCAGATATTTTGCACACATAAAAATTTTATGTCCATACCCAGCAAAAGGCTGTCAGGCAGATTGTGGGCCGGCAGAGAGCATGAGGACAGAGGGGACTGTGCTCATTGTGAGGTCATCGCTGTAGTGTGTTCCTCACCACAGGGAGCCTGGCTCATGAGGAGGGAAAGAAAGACCAGTCATCCTGCCAGAGAACACTTGCTGAGCCCTTGGTAGCTCTTTGACTAATTGGGGATCCCTGCTTGATTGACCAAAGAAAATTTACTCTTTGTATATTAATATTCAAATCAGACAATTAAGTGGAGTAGTATTTCCACCTATACTCACATGTTCTTTTATAGGCTTTTAATCTTCAGATGTGGCCACTTTTGTATGTGATTTGTGTAAAATACGAAAAGAACTAAGGAACAGACCTAGCACAGTCCTCTGTCGGTGCTGAATACATGTTTGTTGAATGACAAGCGTCTGCTGCACGGCTAATATGAAAAGTTCACCGTAATGACTTTGTTCAATAATAGTGACTTTTTTTTTCAGAACAAGAGCTCCATTTCACCATTCATCATACATCCCACTGTCTAGGTTAGAAATAGAATCACTGAGATGGTCACTTCCTTCTTTAGGAAGAGTTTCGTGACATTAGATTATGGCCCGAAGGGAAAGAGAATGGTTAAGAGTTTCAGAACTTTTCTGTGAAGAACAATGGAGAACAAGGAGATAAGAATGTTAACTTGGAGAAGGATGACTTCAGAATGTGATGCAGTCTTGTGGGTGAGGAATGTACTAGCTATCTTTAGCAGAGGTTCTGGATCAGTGAATAAATGGAACAAGAAAGCATACTTAACTTAGCATAAAAGAAAACAAACACAAACCACTGAAGGCTGCCCAGAAATAAAGTGGGCTGCTTAATCATACAACTACACAACTCACTTTAGCCCAGATCCCTGTTACTGGAAGTGTTTAAATCCAGTGTCAAATTCCGATGCTGCACGGGCCAAACAGGTGTATAACTGAAGCTAGACCCAGGCACATTAAACAGGAAATACTCTTGTTTACTTCTTTGGTGTAATAAAGAGACAGAGATTTTCACATTAGGTCAACTGCTAGGAACACTAGCAATCCACAAGTGTCATCAGCTATCTGATTTTAGGCCTCCCTGTTGGAGGCTGCAGGTATAATTTGGCACTGTGGGGACTAGAAGGCACCTGCCTTAGCTCCTTTCTCACTGCTGAGACACAATACCCAGCACCACAGCTGTAAGGAGGAGAGGTTTGTTTCGGCTCCCAGTTCGTAGAGGTTTTGGTCTATAGTCATTGGCTCCAAGGCAGGGGGGCATCTCAGAGGAGAAGGAGCTCATAGTATGAGAGAGAGAGAAACAGAAAGAGAGAGAGAAAGAGAAAGATTAAGGGAGGAGTGGAGAGGAGAGAGACCAGGTGACCCCCAGTGAGCTGCCTCTTCTGACCAGATCCCAGCCCCTAACAGCAAGTCGACTATGAGCCCCATATCCAGTCACCTTCCACCTATGAGTGCATGAGGCTCTGGAGGGACATCTAGATATAAACCATAATAGCAGTGATGAGTTTTGTGGGCTCCAGTGAACCCGATTGCCGGAACACTGTGTTAGTTTGATGTAGGCACTGTACCAGCAAAACTGCAGCTCTGACTGACCCAGCTTTTGGACCATAGAGTTTGCAATCTTTCTTTAAAGCGTGGATTGGTGTCCAGTATCTACAAATAATATAGGGGAGTTTCTGCTTCGGGTGGCAAGTTGAGCCACTTGTTCTGTCATCTTCTACACTTTTTTTTGTCTTTTTGAGACAAGGTCTCACTGCGTAATTCAGGCTGTACTTGAACTCACTTTGTAGCCCAGCCTGGCCTTGAACTCAGGGCAGTCCTTTTGCCTCAGCCTCCCGAACGCTGGGATTACAGGTGTGTGTCACAGCTGTCTGTCATCTTCTGGTTCTCTCCAGCACTCCAGTGCTGTGTCTTTGAATACCAGCTGCATTCATTTATTCATTCAGCAAATACTTGAGTGTCCACTGGTTATTAGACATGGCTGAATGCTGAAGAGTGAAGAAGGTAGATCTGCCCTTCCCTTTTTTTTTTTTCTCCTTTTTTGTGGTGCTGGGGTTGACCTCAGGCCTTACACATATGCTCTAGGCCATGTTTTGGCCTCAGGCCAAACGTGCTGTACCACTGAGCTATATCCCCAGCTTTGACCTGTCCTTTTTAAAAAAATCATGTAATAGCCTAGCGTTGTAGACAAATGTTCTACCACTGAGCTAGTCTCGGCTTCTATAACTTAGCATTGTAAAAAGCTTCATAAGAGGTGCAGAAACACAGTCCTTTATCAAGAACACACGAAAAGCAAGTTAACAGGTAAAGGTAGAGCATGTAGCAGTGGTAATGCCCCATATATGGTAATCTTTCCAAATGCAAATTTTAGATACTGTCTTTCACGTGCTCACCAGCTTTAAACTAGAAGTTTACGGTCCTATAATGTTACTTAACCCTCCACTTACTATGCATTTGTCTGTAATTTTTTGTATAGATTTACAGGTTCATGAGTAAGTAATGCCCCCTACCCCTACTTCTTTTCCTGGTAGGATTTTTAAAAAAAATCAGTTAGTCATGCTTGGGAAGAAAACCAGGAACCGTATGTATAGGAATTGGAATGAGAAGGATGGAGTTCTAAAAATTAAGTTTAATAATTTCGAAGGAAAGGCTTAGTAAAAGATTACACTTAGACTGTCTAGTGCAGTAGCCACTAGCTATGTATAGCCACTGATTACCTGTAATGGGAGCAGTTTGGTGGCGATGTGCTGTGCGTGTAGATGCACACTGAATTGCAGAGACCTGGGATAAAAAGATAGTGACATCCATTGGTTATATCTTGAAATGATAGTATTTGGGGTGTAGTGAATTAAATAACATGTCATCAAAATTAATTTCACTTGTTCTGTAACTTTTTACGTGGCTACTGGAAAATTTAAAAATATTTATATTATACTTTGGGCTCCTGTATTTCATTTGGATAATGTTGCCTTAGCTATTCAATATATTTAAAAAAATGAGTACCTTAAAAAGACAATAACAGTAGTAAATTATATAAAAATAAGAGCCAGATTACTTCATTCTTCTGAGCATATCCACATAAGCTTTTCCTCCAATGTGCTTTCGTATGGTCAGAAAAAAAGATATTGTGTCAATTCCATTTACTTACTATTTTCGGGTCAGTAAAAAGTCCAAATAAAAAGTCAAATGATACTTGATTTTGCTTGTATTTCCCATAATAAGCAGAACTGCTCAGCTTCCTTGAAGATCACAGTATGTAATGTGGCAACTATTGTTAATTCCTGTCATTTTGTTTGCAGTCATGTATCCTTATTGTTGTTGTTTTGTTTTTGTCTTCATTGTTGTTGTTTTGTTAGTTTTTTTCTCTTTAAAATAAAAAGAATTTAAAATAAAAGCACATCCATAGGACAAAGTATGAGTCTGAGATACTGTACCGACAACGATGAATTCTGAATTCTAAGAAGAGAACTTGAATGTTTTGTACTGCTGGCTTCATAAATATCATATGTACTGAGAAAAACACATTTTTATGGTTAATTGAATAATAGAACTATGTGCAGGACACAGTTATTGCTTTATCTTTTGTTAACAAGGTCTGAATCTTCTCTTTATAATGAAATTCTAAATCCAGCTTTCTGTTCATCATTCACAGCATCGCAGCGGAGATCTTTGGGGTGGAGAGGTAGAAAATGCTTTATTGCTTTTGTGGCCGCAGACAGCATAGTGTTAGATTTAAATTAAATTATCTAGTATATAAGTACAAGGCTCTTTAAAATCAGTGGTCAAGTCCTCAAAATTGTGTAGAAAGTTAACCAATTGGACTGATATGACTTAAAGGTCAACAGGATTAAATTTCCAAGTAAGGGGGAACACAGAATATTAATGCTTGTATTTGTTCACTGTACAAGACATTTCTGAAGAAAATGACACATGTTCTTTTTGTTTTTTTGAGATACAGTACCTGAAAAATCCTTTATATTTACTTAGTGGGACAAAGGTTACTATTACTACATTGGGGAGATTAAATATATTTTGAAAAATTTGATTAACAGTGTTGATAAATTTGTAGCTAATAACATAATCTTTTTTTATGCATGTGATATCTTTGTTGTTGATGTTTTAAAGCATTTAGCATCGAATCTTTAACACTAAGTCTTACCCACTTAAAGATAATGTCCCCTCCTTTTTTAGGCTTTTTGAAGTATGCAATTCTATGTGAAAAATGGACCAATTTATATTAAAATCTTCCTTTTAAAAAAATTCCAGTTGACCTTTAAAGTAAATTGGTGACATACTGGTGATAACCCGCTCTTTCTTTAGAGAACAAAAACACCTGAAATGCTATCCCTTTCCTGTCTTCCTCGTAGCCTTCTGCATCTCTTGATTTAAAAATCTTACAGCCTCTTCCAGAAGCCATGTGGGATTTTTCAGTAAGGCTTCAGTGAGTCTGAGGATTTTAAGTGTTGAACTGTAGTAATGAGGAGGAGACATAACGGTTTTCTTAAAAGAAGGTAATTTTTTACTACCTGTTTTGAATTTAGAAGGTAGCTGAGAAAGTTCTCCAAGCTGAAGAATGCTATTACTCACAGTAAATACGACGCACGGACATCAGGTGGTTAGAATGTGCCATAACAAACATTAAGGTGGCAGCCTGTTGCCAAACGCTAAAAACCCAACAGTGATGTGTCCAGTATGGGGAGGAGTCGTCTGTCACATGGCCAAGTGGTAACGGGAAGTTGTTTGCAGCGAGCATATGGCGGGGGAGCATGCAGTGGCAGATTCGGAACCTGTGTTGAGTTACTGGTCTCCCCTTTGTTTTTATTCTTTGATATTTAAATGATAAAATACTAAAAGCTAACCTGTTTGGAGGATTTGCTATAAATTAATTTGGGAATATTTTTTTAAATGTGGGAATATTTTAAACCTTTAAAAATTATTATATGTTTTATGCTTTTGGTTTAATGCCTTCTTTTTTTTTAAAGAGGCAAGGTCTCACTTTGTAGTATAGGCTGGCCTATACACTTATGTAGCCCCATCTGGCCTCCAACTCAGGCCGCCTCCCGTCTCAGCCTCTGAGTGCTGGGATTACAGGAGTGTGCCACCACGCCTGGCTGCTTACTGTCTTCGAACTAGATGTATGTAGGGAAAAGAACAGATTTTGGAAATCGACAGTATTTGTATACTGCGCTTTGCAAACATCAGCCCCACAGCTGGCTATTGGTTGGTCTCTATTTCTTCTTTACAGTCCATGTTTAGCTTTCTTTTTCAGTATGTCATGTACTGCACAGTAGACCTTCTATGATAATAGGAATGTGTAACCCCACACTGTACAGTGTGGTAGCCAGTATCCCCAAGCGTGGTTTGTCTAACCAAAGAACTGAATTTTAAATTTTATTTAATTTTAATTTCAACAGTGACGTTGACTGATTATATTAGCACAGGTAGAGAAAGTTGAAAGTTGACTCTGTTACATTTTGGTTTTACTGTCTTTTTTTTTTTATTAATTCCTCAGAATAACCTTTAGTCTGTCCTGTTTTATTTCCTAGCATTTATTATTTGTGTTTATGAAAACAATAGTAGAAAACAGATGAAATATATTCCTCAGCATTTATAAGAAAAATTTGAGTTTTCAAGATCTGCTTAGAAAAATAGCCAACATATTTATGCAGATAAGTGAAGTAATACTTCTTTATTTAGTGTTTTGTCTGATTTAAGAAGTTCAGTGTGATGCTTTTTACTTTATTTTTAACTGTAAAAACAAGTTAGCAGAGGTTTACGGAAAAGGGATGAAACATCTTTTTTTGACATCTAAACGTGAAGACCAAAATTTGGGTATCACCAGTATACATATGAAAGCATGGTTTTGTAGTCTTGATTCAATTTTGTTTTATCTACTTAATTGGTTACAACCTTCATAAAACCAATACTGGTCACCCCCTACTTTTTAACGTTGAGTATTGGGATGAGTTATTCATTCATTTAAATTCCCATCACCATATTCATATTCATGTGTGGAAGCATGCAATTAATTGTGAATTTTCATTTGTTCAAACTTGACCACTGCACTGTATCACTTCCAGAATGGTTTGGCTTGTTTTTCACTAAATGAAGTTCTCATATGCATGTGTTTTTAAAAGTAGCTTTGCTGCTTATTTTGTGATATGCCTGCTGTGGTGTGAAACATCTTGGACTGTATTGCATGTGCTTAGTATCATTACAAGAATATGCATAGGATAGCATTTTCAAATTTTATGGGGCAGTTACTTTGTATGTATTAATGTTAAGATGTCTTTAAAGGGAGATATTAAAGTACAGTGGTATAGTGCATGTTCATTGCATAATTAGCTTTTGGGACCCAGTGCTATTTTAGCATGTTATAAAGGCATTTCAAATAAGTAATGTAGTGGCTAATTGCTAAATTTTACCTTTAGTTATATTAAGCCAGGAGTCTTCTAAGATATTCTTTGTAGTAGTCATGTACAAAGGCAGTATTAAGGTAGCTATTTAGACATTTAGGTTGTGGTATATTAAGTTTAACCATTCATTTTTGGTGCTAGATACATGGTAGTATGAAAGAAGGCTGTGGGTTAAGTTTGAGTTTGTATTGAGGGACTTATTTTGAGACAACCAAGATTACATACTCTGTTAGTATATTTTTAAGTGAGAGGAAGGAAGATGGTAATAGGCACCTGTGTTAAATACACAGTTTTGGATTCTGAAGCAGTGAGTAAGGAAAGTCTGCCTGGGGTTCTTGATTTGTTAAAATGAGGACGATAACACTGAAAAAGGCAAGTGATGTTTAAGGCCACTCATTGGTTATATACATTGTTAAATTTATTGTAATACCTTTGGTAACATCTCTTCCTGAATTAAGTAATCTTAATGATTCTTTGTTTCAGGTCGTAAGAAGATACTAAATGGTTGGTCCCTCTTACAGTTGTAAATTCTAGGTCTATGAATGAGTTTTTCACTCTTCTGTAGATTCTACTTAACTAATGATCTTGCTTACTGAATTTTTCCAGATAAAACAATACTACAGTGGGAAATCTATTGTAGAGGTTCTTAAAAATTTTATGTTCACATAATTCCTTTGAGAATCTTATAAAAGGTATAGTTTGTTTAATCAGAATATACGTATATGAAAATTTTTGCAGTTTCATATAGTTTATGGATCTTTCTGGTGCCTGTCCATAGGCCCTGTGTTAATGACCCTTGCTCTTTTATTTGTTCACTTACTTCCTCTTAGTTAGCTAAGGCTGTTGATTTAAGTGCCTTGGATGTCCTGTATAATAATATAGAATTATAAATGATCCCAATCCATGTAGTATTGTATTATATACTTTATATCTATATTTGGGGCAGCATGTGTTTTATATGGGATTTACTATACGATTTTCCTTTTCTCTTTGATCTGATAACTAATAATTTGAGCTTGTCTTTTGTTTACTAAGGAAAAATAGTTTTTAGAGAAGCATTGTCAGAATTCAAATTGATTTAAATGCAAATTCTTGATACTTTGTTTTTAGCATATATCTCTATCTGTCTATAGATAGATGTAAATAAATTGTTCTAAAACATGACTCCTCTTCTTAAAATTCTAATTTTCCTACTGATGTAACTGAACAAGTACTTACTAATTATGCAGGCTGGAAGCGCAATTCATTGACTCCTAGGACAACTACTTTTCCTTGCCCTGGCTGCGAACATGATGTGGATCTTGGAGAACGAGGAGTCAATGGTCTGTTTCGAAATTTCACTTTGGAAACTATTGTTGAGAGATACCGCCAGGCAGCCAGGGCCGCCACGGCCATTATGTGCGACCTCTGTAAGCCACCAGCTCAGGAATCCACAAAGAGTTGCATGGACTGCAGTGCCAGCTACTGCAATGAATGCTTCAAAATCTATCACCCTTGGGGTACTGTGAAGGCTCAGCATGAGTATGTGGGCCCCACCACTAATTTCAGACCCAAGGTAAGTTAGAATATTAGATTTTACGGTATGGGCTAGATTATTAGGAGTCTAGAACTTGACGTAAAGAAAGAGTAAAAACAAGTAAAGAATTTAAGGCCTTGTCTTAGTAGGAGTTATTTAGTGTGGGAGTGAAAAGCTCCAGTAGAGAAGGTAAAAGTTGTGTTTAGTTCTGTTATTGGAATCTTACATCATAAACCATTCCAAGAGTCTCATAGCAACATACTTGTAGGAAATTCACATCACAGATTCTCCTAAATTGCTCTGGTACCTTACAAAAATATTGATTATGATCATGAATATTTGCCTACTCCGTGGGGTCAGAGACTTTCTAGCTTGGTTAAACATTGCACTTGCATCTTTCAGGAGTAAATCTTTCACTTTGTTATTACCAAGTTTAGCAGAAATAATACCTATGTATTTAAATTGAAAAATTCAAATTGAAAAATAGTAATTCTAATGTAGAGAATTTTCTGGGTTATATCAAATATTTTTATTTTTCTATACTTTTATTCATTTAAGTGGATTTATCTATTGAGCAGATGTTCTTTGTATTTTAGTTTTTATTGGATTACTTGAAACCAAGGTCCTTAATCATATTTTTATTCTTTATTCAACAGATTTTAATGTGCCCAGAACATGAAACGGAGAGAATAAACATGTACTGTGAACTCTGTCGGAGGCCGGTGTGTCACCTCTGTAAGTTGGGTGGTAATCATGCCACTCACCGTGTAACCACCATGAGCAGTGCCTACAAAACCTTAAAGGTGGGACTTGTTTATTTTGGGAAATGAATTCTTTATAACTTTATGCCTGTAAGTGCTTATTTATAAGATCATGGTTTATAATGGGGTCTTTTTTACTAAAAGGAGTTAATGATATAAAGTGTTTCTTAACCTTGGAAGACTGGTTTGCTGGTATTTCTAAGTGATGGTTCTTTGGCCATTATACGTTAAAGCCTGCACTGTCAGTCATGAGCTCTGAGGAGGGCAGAGTGAAGGACACTTCATTGTGACCCCAGTGAGCCCCGTGCCTGGGACATTGAGGTTGTGAATAGGAAGGACACACTTTGAACGACAGTAGCTATTTCTTAAGAAACTTGATTCTTACTTCTTACCTATAGAGTGGGTATAACCTTTTTTGTTTATTCTAATTGGAATCCTTACTAGCTAAAACTGAATTATTTCTTCTCTGTTGTACAAGAGTATTTAAAACTTCTAAGTTTAATAATGGGTGGCAGAGCAAGTAGTGGTGCCATACTGCTTGTGTCGTTTTTTCATTTCAACCATATTTTAAAAATAATCCACAAGGGGCTGGGGATTTAGCTCAGTGGCAAAGCGCCTGCCTGGCAAGCGCAAGGTCGTGAGTTCGGTTCCCGGTACCGGAGAAAAAACCAAAAAAAAAAAAAAATAAAAAAATAAAAAATAAAAATAATCCACAAATATTACCACCCTTTTAAGTTATGTCTATATATATGTATATGTAAAACCACACATCAGTATATACGTTATAAAAACATATATATACACATTTTTATCCAATATCTAATTGCGTATATACATGCTTTTGTATTTTATATCTATGTCATGATCAGTGTTTACTCTGTCTTCCTTGAATACAGGTGCAATTGTTCTATTGTTCTTGTCTGCCGACTCTCTAACCTGTGTTGTTACTAGGTCAGTTCTGGTTTTTTTTTTTTTCTTCATATTTCTCTGCTGATTTGCTGCCTGGTAATTTTTATTGGCTGCTAGGTACTGTAACTTTTACCTTGTTTGGTGCTGCCTATTTTGTCTTTCTACAAATATTCCTGAGTTTTCACTGGATATGTGACTATTTGGAAACGTTTTGGATCTTAGATTTAAGCTTTATTAGGCAGGCAGAGCCGTGTTTAGTTCTAGGGCTAATTTTACCTGGCTGTGCAGGAAAAAGCCTTTGATTACTCTTCCTGATGCCCTGTGATTTTGACTTTTTCTGTTTGTTTGGCTGCTGGGAGTTGGCATTACTCTCAGCTCTGTGAGCTCTGAGCCTGGGGTAGTTCTTACCATGGCTTCTGGCCATTTCCTTATATGTGTTAGTTGATCAGTACTCGGCTTGGTACATCTCTTCATTTCTTTATTTCTTGCTGTTAGGTCTTAAAATTACTGTACTCTCCAGACTCCAGTCTCATCTCCCACACTCGTGGAAGACCCTGGGCTCTATTTGCTTTCTCTGCTGTGCCTGACCTTGGAAATCCTTTCTAGACAGTAAGCTGTGGCAGTCATAGGCTCATCTTGTATCCCAACTTTCAGGGACTGCTCTCATCTTTGTTTTTGATGTCCAATATCTTGAGAGCTGTTCTATATATTTTGTTGGGTTGATTCAGATGGGAGAGTAAATCCATTCTTTGTCATTGTATCATGCCTTGACAGCCTGTCCTACACAGCACTACTTATAATTAAATTTTGTCTTTTTTAATATTCTAGTTTCTTATAGGTTTAATGTTATACAAACTATGCATTCTTTTCTACCACTCGGTGTAGGTCTTGGCAGTGGTATACACTTAAGCTATTGTGTTGACAAAACAAGCTGTGCTTTTCTCAGCTCTCAGATTGTAACGGTCAACACAAAAGGCTTCTGTGACCTCAGATAAAGTGGAGATCTCACCCACCGGCAACTGGCCCATGAATTCTGTAGCATACACCAGCTGTGGCTTCTAGTCCAATATATTCTGACCCTGTCTACCTGGAGATAGTGTCACATCCCACAGATTGAGGGCTCAGTGCCCAAGACTCACCCACCCTACTTCAGATGCCATTCCAGACCTCAGGTGCTGCTGCTTTTTTTTTTTTTTTTTTTTTTTTTTTGAGGCAGGGTATCACTATGTAATTCAGCAGGCTAGTTTTGAACTCACTGTGTAGCCCAGGCTGGCCTGGAACTTAGGGCAATCCTCCTGCCTCAACCTCTCCTAGTGCTGGGATTACAGGCATGTGCCACCACACCCAGCCACAGGTGCTTCTGACTGCCAGGCTTTAAGCTGGACTGACTGACTGTAAGAGGGGGGTCCCTAAAATACCCTCTGCAGCTTCACTTAATATGAGTGGTTCACAAAAGCCAAGGAAAAATTTACTTACATTTACTGATTTATCAGAAGGGTATTACAGAGGATGAAGAGCTGCATGAAGGGTGTGATCTGTGGGAACTGGCAGGGGGCTCCCATCCCCTGTCTGGGAACTCCACATGCTCTGCCATCTGGAAGGTCTCCAACTCCTGCCCTTTTGGGAGGACTGGTAAGGCTTTGAAATTGTGTTTTTCCTAGAGAGAGACACTGTGTTAGGTATTCACTATCTTGCCATCAGTCTGGCTACATTTTTTGGTGATGCTTTTCCAAAAGCTATGTACTGCAAAGATAGACCAGAGGAGATCTGGATTGCTGAGAAGGAACAGGACAGTAGAAAAGAAATTAAAACAGAATTTGGTATCAAAGAAATTTGGTATCTAAGCAGAATTTGGGGTCATTGCTGTGACTGTTCCTGACCTTGTGGTTCAGGATCTTTTGGAACTAGCTTTTGGGAAGAGTTTGGAAAAGTTTGGAGATGCTGTCCCTGGAATGTCTGTGGCTGTATTTGATGGGAGAGTCTGATCAGAGCTCAGAAGACCACAATGTTGATAGAAATGCTGCTGATAAAGACCAGGCTTGGGAGGTTTCCTTCGGAAATAAGAACTGCATCAGCTATTGGATTCCAGACGATGTATGTTATGCTTTGTCAGAAACTTTGTCTGCATTTTGCTCATGTCCAGAGACTTTTTTTGCCTGAGACCAAGATTAAGGGCAGTGGATTAATTAAGCTTGCAGAAGAAACTTCAAGGAATTCTAATGTTGAGGCAGTGGTATGGCTACTGTTGGGGGCTTTTAGCCAGATTTATCTTGAAATTAAAAGGCCAGCAGAATAATTTAAAACGTTGTGAGTTTGGCCAGAAAGAATAGAGTTGCAGCTTGCAAAGATGGAACAGAGGGAAAATTAGTCACTGAGAAGACTAGCAAGAAAAGACCAAGTATTTCAGAAGAAGACAACAGGAAAGATGGCCTCAGGGCATCACAAGAACCAATAGGACTCAAAGCTTTGCAGCCTCAGAGTTGCAAAGATGACAGTCTTTGCTTTGAGAAGAGAACCCCAGAGCACCATGTTCTAGAATGGTGGCAGCCTAGGGAAGTTGTCCCTCAGGATTTGGTTCATAGGCCCTCAACCCTTATAGCCAAGAGAGAAGAAAGCCTGGCTACTGCTTCAGCTGGAGGCAGACCTTAGTGTCATCCATTTGGTGCTGGTTTTAGGTACATGCAGAATGTAAGAGTTGTAGGGTCAGGAAGGCTTCCAACCAGATTTCACAAGACATCCTGGGAAGCTAAGCAGTGTGCCTCTGAGAGGGCAGCGTGTGAAGCTATGAGATTGAAGCTGAAGGTGCAGTGGACACCCCAGAAATTTGGAGAAGCTAGGAATGTGGATCATCTGAGGAAAACTGTAAGGATGGAGCAGAGCCACAGAGCTGGTCTCAGAGAGAAGCCATCAGAGGTATAATCACCAGCAATACCATTGGGACAGAGCCACCCAAGCTCTTTGGAGTTCACATCTTGCCACTGATTGCCTCAGACACTCTACGTGAAACTACAGAACTTAATGTTTACCTTGTTGGATTTTGGACTTGCTTCAGTCCTTTTCCCTCCTATCTCCATTTGTACCTTTTGGAATGGTAATTTTTATTTTGTGCCATTGCGTGTTGGAAGTGTTTAACATTCTTTTCATTTGTACAGGGGCTCTCAGCTAAAGTTTGCCTTAAATCTCAGGAGACTTTTCAGCAGTGCTGAAACCATTAGGACTTTGGCAGGTTTTGGAGATGGACTAAATGCCTTTTGTATAGAGGGATATGCATGAATCTTTGGAAGGGGCCAAGGGCAGAATGTTATGGCTTGTGTTTAGATGTACCCCAGAGCACCAGGCAGTCATAGATGGGGGTTTTCAGAGGTGGCTGGATCTAGAGTATGTGATGCTGGGATTCATGGCGCAATGCTAGGGTTAAGGGCGTGAGTGCTATCTGCCTTAATGGTGAGTAGCCTGGGTAAAATACAAGGAACAGAAGGAGGCTTGTTGATTCCAGCTTGCTTTTGCTGCCTTCTGCCTGCCATGGACTGTTTCTTCTCTGTGATGCCCCTCTGCTATGCCACCCTGCTTCAGAGCCAGCCAACTATAAACTAAAACCTCTACAGACTGTGAGCCAAGTAAACCTTTCCTCCTCTAACTTTGGGTGTCAGGCATTTTGTGTCAGCAGTGAGAAAAGTAACCAAGACAGGTGTGGTCTCTAGGAATGGGTGGGGAGCTCCCATCCCTGTCTGGCTGTGCCACCCCTTTAGGAACTTTGTGTCCTCTGCCATCTGGGAGCTCTCCAACTCCTGCTTTGTGGGGTTTTTGTGGAGGGCTGATAAGGCTTTGAAATTGTTTTACCCCGAAAAATGCACTGTGATGAGGGATTCACTATAGCTCCTTCAGTGTGGCCACATCCCTGGATGATGCCTTCCCATCTTTGATGGCTGTGGGTTTTCTCAGCTTCTCACACACTACAGTTCTCATTAAGGAGAGCTGGGTTTTGGCTCATCTTAATTTTGTTACAGTTAAATCTGTAGTAGTTAGAAGACGTTTTACTGAACAGTGTTTCCCAAGGACATTTTGCTAGTTTTGTTTCTCATTGATAATTTCCATACATTTCTAAGGAGAACTTAAGATCTTTGTCTTGTGCTGGTATCTCTGGTGGAATGATGGCTTTGATTTTAGACAAGTTAGTAACAATTAGAACCAAAAGAGTAGAAAGTATGAATAGTCCTGTAAACTCTTCTTACTGAATAAGGAAGTAACTAATAAAGTATTTGTAGTTTGGAGAATGTGACTAAAAATGTATCATTATATACCCTTTCTTCCCAGTATTTTATTTTGAACATTTTCAGAGGTAGACCAGAGGTGATACCACCTTTAGAATTGTATACTCTGAGGACAAGGACCACATGTGCTGCTCTCTTAGCCAGCTTACCTAAAAGATATTTAGTTGTAATTATTGATGCCTTTGCCTTCCTTTCTTCTTTCTCCCTTGACTTGTTGACTCTGTGGACTCTGAAACCTTTGATTGTGGACAGGATGGACACAGGGAAACAGTGGTTCTCGAACTTGGGTGGGCATTAGCCTCACCTGGGCACTTGGTACAATGACGGAGGCTGCTCATGTCCTTCAAGGGGCCTGGGCCTCTGTTCTTCCATCAGCAGTCAAGGGGGTCGAGTCACACCGCTGTTTGAAAACCGCTGTTCCAAAGGAAGTCTTCTGAGCAGTTCAGTCTTGAGAAAGTAGCCTCAGATCAGTTCTGTGATTTATTTAAAACTGCTTTCCCCATTGGGTACGATCTATGGGTAAGGGAGCTTGTCTTTTTACATTTTTCTTTTATTAGCAGTGCCTGGTGGCAGTGTCTGATACTTAGCTGTTTTTTGGAGACCTATGAATGCATGGACATAGTGATTCTTAGGTAAAATAGATTTAATCTTTTAAAATAGACTGCCAAGGTCTGAGAGCAGTCAGAGGACTAGAGCTGTCTCAGATAAAGAATATAGGTGGCTGAAGTCTGTCTAAGCATTGAAACTTACCAGGTGTTTTAGGACCATGTTTCTGAATTGTGACATCAGTTCTCTGGTTCTTACTGCTTTGGGTCAGTCAACCTATCTTAGCCTTTTTCTACTTCTAATTTGGATTTAGAACTGAGCCTTGCTTCAAATTAAATGGCCAAATTTAGCTCTTTGCCACTGAGGTTCATAAAAACTGTTCCCAGCTGTATCCAGTACTTCTGGCCCCAGCCTGGCCCGAAGGGACGGCGTAGTCTTAGAACTGTCGTTAGACCTGCAGCCTGTGGAGGGGTGGGTGGTACAGTGAGGTTTCTGGTTCAGCTGCTTCATATGTATACTCAGGTTTTGGCTTCACCTGTGAAATCGTTCGCTGAGGTTTAACATTTCATGCCTCTTCTTTCCTTTACGTCCTGTCATTTCTTTCTTGTCCTCATTGTGCCTTTAGTACCCAGAAATCTTGGTCGTCTGCCCAGCAGGTTCTTCCTCTCTTTGCAGTGAGCCACCAGGAAGCTCATTCTGATTTCTGGTGTTCTTGGGAAACTCAGATGGGTCTTGCAAAGCCTGTCACTTTCATTTTGGGCATATTCTCTCTTCCTATTATGTGGCCTAAGCAGAAAGAGGAAGATAATGTGGGAGGAGGCTCATGTTTTCAGCTCCTAGAAGTTGATCCTGTCACTTCATTTGTGCCCACCCTCCCCACTGCCGTGCTCAGGTCCTGTTAGGTCAGTGCCTCCGGACTGGTACAGAGAAAGACTCCAGCTCTCCACTGTTCTTGTTGGCCAGTGCATGGGAGGGGCAGCGAGTGATTCCAGGAATGGTAATGGTGATGACAGTGTGCTGGGGAAGGAATAAAGCGTTCTGCAAGGATGAGACAAGGGCCAAGGAGGAAACTGTAGTTTCCCCAGCCGAAACTTCTACTGCTGTACATTGCTTCAGAGATCCTTGTCGTCCTCAGCAGGTCTTGTCCTGTCCTGTGAGGCCACAGCATCCCCAGCCCGCAGGCTTCACCTCTGACCAGAAGAAAGCAGGGAGTTTCCTCGATCTGGTCCCACTCAGAGGGCGGGACAAGGACGGCCTTGGACAGGCTCCGGACTTGGTTTATAATTTGTGGTCCCCGGTATTATTTAATGCATATCCAGACGGGGATGGGCTGGGAAGATTACGTTGGACTTTTTATTGCTTTGCCTGTAGTGTATGATATGCGAGCACCATCACAAAGCCTGATAAATGACAAGACCGGACTGCTGCCTTTCCCTTTACTTAAAAGTCTTTGAAAAAAAGAGTTCTGAGAATGCTAATGGAACAACAAAAATTTATTACTTGTGTACATATTTAGAATTTTTGAACAATCTAAGCATCACTACCTTATTCTTTTTTTCTGGCCTACTTTTAGTTTTCTATATAACTTTGGGCCTTTGTGCTTAAGACCAGTAACTATTTACCCGCGGTTGATATGGTTAATCACCAAAGCTGATTTTACTGTCTCATTATAGAGGATGAGTACTGGGTAATTAAAAAAAAATCATGCAAGACCTTTGATAAGCTTTGTGTTGTGAATGTGTTTCAACAGGATAAGCTTTCAAAGGATATTGATTACCTTATTGGTAAAGAGGGCCAGGTGAAGAGTCAAATTTCTGAACTCAACTTGTTAATGAAAGAAACAGAGGTGAGTAACAAACTAGTTCACATAGTTTTCATTTATATATTTTGACATTCATTTATTTGTTCATAAAATCCTAGGGGTGTTATATGAGCTGGGAACACCCAGTAGTGTTAGATGTCATCCCTTCTTTTCTGGGACTAGGGAAACAGATATAAAAAATCAGTGGACGGCTGGGTGTCGTGGCGCACACCTGTAATCCCAGCATTCTAGAGGCTGATACATGAGGATCACTGCGAGTTTGAGATCAGCTGGGCTACAAAGTGAGCTGGAGGCCAGCCTGAGCTGCATAGTGAGACCCTGTCTCAAAGAGACCAAAAAAAGAAAAAACATGTAGTAGAGTGCTCATGGCTATAGACTCTGAGATAGGTACAAAGTGGAAACTGTCTAAATACAATATCCATAATCAGTGGAAGGAAATAAAAATGATCTGCAACTACACACAACAGTATAGATGAATCTTGTAATGTTAAAGGGAAATGCCAGATACAAAAGAAAATATTTTATGTGATGATATTTATTAAAAAGTGCCCAAAAATCTGGACTTACTTGGGCAGCTGAGTCAGGAGGATTGCAAGTTTGAGGCCAGTTTGAGTAACTTAGCAAGATCTTATCTCAAAATGAGAGATAAAAAAGGGCTGGAGCTATAGTTTAGTTACAGGATATCCCTGGGCTCAAACCCCAGTACTAAGAAAGTCCCCCAAAAGGTGAAACTAGATTATGTTAAAATTCAGGATGGTCATTGTTGAGGAGGGGAAAATTAGTGCCTGTGTATTGATAATGTTTTATCTAACCTGCATGTGGTTGCATGTGTGTTTTACAGATTTATTGATCTTTATATTTATATGTACATATTTTTGCATATTTTGTTTCAGTAAAAATAAGAAAAATGAGTAGCATTTTAAATACATGATAGAAGAGGATTGTGCTGGGTCATCTTAAAATTCCACTATTTTTCATTGGCTTTGATGTGTACTGATTTTTTATATTAAATATAAAAATATCCTTAGAATGCAACTCTTGGAATTTTTTTTTCCCAAAATGGAGTGAAGTTATTGGGAAATTGTGTGAATTAGTACCATATTATCAGCTTTGCTTTTAAAAAAATACCATTTTCCTGATCCTGATTGCATTTATGGTTCTAAGTATTCAGTTGTTTTTTCGTGTAATTTAAGGAGAATTTTTCCACCTTTTTGTCTGATTAAATAACATCTTCTCTCAGTTTGGCATAATCTTCCAACACAAAGAAAACTCCAGAGATTGTATCTTTGGTCATTTTAGTTTTATCTCTCAGTCAGTCTTCCTTCACTTTTGAAATCAGGGAAACCTAGCATTTGTTTGTGAGTTTGTCATCCAGTAGGTAAAGAATTGAGGAACTCGGGCATTAAGTGTTCATAGAGTAGTGTGCTTTCTTCCTGAACTTGCATGAGGTCTGAGATGTGAGGGGGTGAACTTTTTTTCGGCCTTTGCCCAAGCTGCATTTGTAGGTTACTAAACCTCACTGACAAGCAAGAATCTCGTGCATTACAGATTGGTCTATGTTCTTGACGTCTGTTCAGTGATGATGGTGACTCTGTCTTTGCTTCTGCAATTATACTTAGCCAGAGAAGCTCTTTTTATCTAGTACAGTGATGTTTCTGGGCTTTATGGGATGTGTCATTGACATTCCGTGGAAGTATCTGTCCAATCTTTCTCTGCCCCTTTCCTTTCTAAAAGTGCGACTGTTGGAGCTAGGAAACAGCAGGCAATGTGGAAATTTTTTCATTGTGCCTGTTGGCCAGCAACCAACGGCAGATGCATAGCACATTGCTGCCGTATATTGTCAGCGTTTAAGAATGTTCTGACACGTTTTTTTGTTTCTCTTGGCTTCATTATGATGTGTGCTTATTAGTGCTGTTGGTCTCGTTTTCAAAATCATACTGAGCTTCACTTTTATAGGGTTTCAAAAATTTAGTAAATACTACAGAGACTCATTTTATGACAGTTGATAAAGTATATATGCACTTTGCTTATTTAGAGTGGGTGACATTGTAGAATTTTGTGTAAATCTTTCTTAATCATCACAAAAATGTAAACAGTTTCTCCATCTAGTTTTCTGGGGAGGATGCTGGGTGTTGACATTCAGCACGCTATGCCAGCTACATCCCCAGCCCGGTCCACAGCCTTTACAAGAGAAAGCAGCATGTGTAGAGGAGTTCAATAATTTGAATGAGGTGACACAACAGAGTAGGGTTCAAATTGTAAATAAATTAATTTGAATAGAACACTTACATTTTTGTATCTCAGTGAAGAATATAATTTGTTTTAGTTTTGTAGCTGTGAATTAGCTTATTTTAAAAAAGGAATAGTGTATATACAAGGATCTTGAAGTTGAAATGAATATTGTACAAAACTCTAGAAGTGGGTTTTACTCTGGTTAAATCAGTTTTTCTGCTTTAGATTCTTTTATATGTAACTGAATATTGCTTTTTATGTAATTGAATAAATGGTCTACTGCTGGACTTTGGAGATGAAAAACTTAATGAACTACAATATTATAACATTACAGAATAAGTCCTGCTTTTTTTTTTTTTTTTTTTTTGAGACAGGGTCACGTTGTGTAGTTCAGGCTGGCTTGGACTGCTGGGCTCAAACTCGCAGCAGTCCTCCTGCCTCAGTCTTCCAAGTGCTTAGATTACGGGTGTGTGCCAGGCATGCCCGGCAAGTCTTAATAAAAGTTGTCAGTTTTTTTGCTATGTGTATTTGATGCCATACTATTGCTTTGAAAATTTCAGCCCACGAGGTAACACCTGTTCTTGTTTTATTAAAGTGCAATGGAGAGAGGGCTAAAGAAGAAGCGGTTACACATTTTGAAAAGCTTTTTGAAATCCTAGAAGAGAGGAAATCATCTGTTCTGAAAGCAATTGATGTCTCTAAGAAACTAAGACTGGAAAAATTTCAGACTCAAGTGGAGGAGTATCAGGGGCTTCTAGAGAACAACGGACTCGTGGGATATGCCCAGGAAGTGCTGAAGGAGACGGATCAGTCTTGCTTTGTGCAGACAGCAAAGCAGCTCCACCTCAGGTATTTCCCTGTGGTTCTCCCTGGCGTAGTGCATTGACCCACTGTGGCTTCGCCTTCAGCTCCAGGGTGGTGCTGATACTGTTAGCATGGAACGCGTGCCGTGCTCATTGTTGAGTGTGAGGGAAGGGTCAGTTTTCTCTTGTTCGTCCCATTGCAGATGCTCAGTCTGGTTGGACGTTTTAGAGAATCATATTTATCTAAAGTATATCTGTCTGCAGAATACAGAAAGCCACAGAATCTCTGAAGAGCTTTAGACCAGCAGCCCAGACTTCTTTTGAAGACTATGTTGTTAATACGTGTAAACAAACAGAAGTTCTTGGAGAATTGTCCTTTTTCTCCAGTGGTAAGTCTTAGTAAAGGCAAAACCTCATTATTTTAGTCTGAATTTACACTGTCTAAAAAACCACATAATTCTATTTATTTTTTATTTTTAAGAGAAGGAAAAAAATAAAAACAGTGATACACAATTTCAAAACAAGATGATAGGAAATTAACAATGGTTATTATATTGCATATTGTTATCTTCAAAGTAGTTGTTTAGATTATCAGATGCACGCATGCAAAATTGATCAGACAGTGTAAGCACAAACTGTTCCTCTCAATGAACTAATAGAAATTTGTAGTTTAATCAGCTTAACTATCTTGTGTGTGTGTGTATATATATGTATATATATATATATATATTTTTTTTTTTTTTTTTTCCCCTTCCTTCTTTTCTCCTTTTCCCCATCCCAGTTGGTCTTTCCTTTTGAGCAGTTTCTTTCCCTTTCACAATATCTATTGTACCTTTTGGATCTTATTAACTCTTTCAGATTCTTATACTAGGGAGACAGTACGATGTTTACACATTGCAAGTCTGATTCATTTCACTTATGAGTATGGTCTCTAGTTGTATCCATTCACCTATAAAAACCTCAAGTTGACCCTTCTTTATAGCTGAGTTGTACTCCACTGTATAAAAATACCACATCTCTTTTATCCATTCTTCAGTGCATGGCCATCTGGGTTGTTTCCAAGATTTAGCTATGACAAATTGTGCTGCTATAAACATGGGTGCACATATATCACTGTGGTATGATGTTTTCAACTCTGGAAAAATACCCAGAAGGGGAATAGCTGGGTCGAATGGGACCTCTAATCCTAGTTTTTTGAGGAATATATCATTCTATCCAAAAATGGACTCCATTAATGCTTTTATAATTATGTTTTTATGCACAAAACTGTATTCTGTTGGTTTGTGTATTTTTAAATGTTGCACAAATGACACTTTTTGAAAAAACTAAGATAAATACTTGTTAATGTACAGTTCTGGCTTTAAATAACATTTTAACTCTTTATAGTATTTCATCAACGAATAAATCATTTCTTTCCTGAGAGACAGTTTCTTTCTGTTTTTTTCTCTATTGAAAACAATGCTGTGTTGAACATCTTTGTCATTGTTTCTTTGTGTATGCAGGTTTGAGTTTCTCTAGAGCAGAGACCAAGCACTAGAACCCACGGGCTAAACTGACTGTCAAGTATTCCAGCATTTACATTATTGTATTAGTTTTCTAGGTGTGCTGCAGCAAACATCTGACCATGACAGTGTAGGTTAAACAATAGAGCTTTCGTCCCAATTCTGGTGGCTAAGTGTCCAGTAACACAATTAATTTTGCCATAGTCCTAAAATCTGTAGCCAAGGTGTCAGCAGGGTTCATTTCTCCTGAGGCTTTCCTCCTTGTCCTTGTAAATGGCCACTTCCCACGTCCTTGTGTGGCCTCCTTCCCTCTGCAGAGGTCTGTGTCCTGCTGCCTCTTAGGGACACTAGTCATGTTGGGTTAGGGCCTGCTGCCATGACCTCAGTTTAATTTCCTCTTTAAAGATCTTGTCAGCTCAGATACAGTCACATTCTGAGGAGTACAGTCACTTTCTAGGGGTTGAGACTAATACGCAAGCATTGGGGGAGGTGCAGTTCAGCCTACAACCCTTGCTTCTGTTTGAGCTTTGCTGCTTCTGCACAATCTTCCTTTCTTTCTCACATTCTCCCCTCATGCATTTCCCTGAGGTTTCTTGTCTAGTGATGGGGCATGATTAGAGTCCTGACAGAGGTTTAACCTAATTGCTATATAGATACAGACTTGTGTATTTGTACATTCAGTCAAGGGAAATTTATCTTGTTAAAAGTAAAACTTCTGTGACTTCCTTTCTTTTTAAATCTGTACCTAAATCTGATATTAATGAACATCTTATTTTTCCAGATAGGTATGTTATTCAAATGCTGATTCTGCTTTTTATTTTTATTTTTTTATTTTTTATTTATTTTTTATTTTTTGGTTTTTCTCTGGTACCGGGAACCGAACTCACGAGCTTGCGCTTGCCAGGCAGGCGCTTTTGCTGCTGAGCTAAATCCCCAGCCCTGATTCTGCTTTTTAGATTATACCTCATTTGTGAACTATGTCCATGAATTGTTACATGTGCATATATGCAAGTGGTGCCTCAGTTTACAAACTTGATTTTATGGTTTTGGGAAAGATGGCTGCATTTGTGTTTTCATGGGGAAGATGGCCATGGTTGTGTATGTTACCCAGTGTGAAGTTTGCAAACAGAAGCAAAATTTTGCCAAACCCTTTCATTTGTGAACTGAATTGTGAAATATTACTGTGTATGTTCATGAAATATTACTGTATAGTACATACATACACCCATATACACACATACATACAGGCACACACACATACGAGTAATAGCTTACTTGTGAGTCCAGTATTTTCCCTTCCCTGTGGATCCTAAAAGAAAGATCTAGAAGGGAGAGGTAACAGGGAATCTTGGGCTATACCCGGGGACAGCAGAGTATCACTAAAGTATGTAGATGGGGAGATTGGACAGTACTTACTCAGCTTCCCAGTGTTGGGTATTCCCTTTATTTTTGCATACATGCACTTTTTTTAGTAAGTTATGTTCCAAGTAAAGGGTGTGGGATTAATAATTCAGTCTTAGCTGGGCATAGTGGCACATGCCTGTAATCCCAGCACTTGTGAGGCTGAGGCAGGAGGATCGCCACAAGTTCCAGGCCAGTCTGAGCTCACAGTGAGTTCAAAGCCAGCCCAACCTACTTAGTGAAACCCTGTTTCAAAAAAACAAAAAGAAAAAGAAACAGTCATTCATGTTATTCTGTGATTTACTCTTGTTCTTTGTTTTAAACTTTAATATGTATTTTGGGTAACTGCTGATCTTAAGGAAATATGATATTGAGGAATAGAAATGCACAGAAACCTTGCTTATATATAGCTGGGAGCTAATAAGGGAGAAAGTTCGTTCTCATTTCATATCCTCCACTGTGATATTGTATAAGTTGTGTGTGTATATGGTATGTGTGCGTCTGTTTGTATAACTTCTACAGCTTATTGTTCTTACTACTTGCAGTGTTAGGAATTTAGTGCGAAAAAAGAACTATGCGCATGCACAAAGATTTACCTGTGATATTTAATCATGCTGGTTTTAGTAAGATATTAGAAACTTGTTTTCCAAAATAAATAAATATTGTTATACCCAAACAGTGGGATATTTTGAGGGGAAAGTACTAGCAGGATCTCTGTAAAGTTACTTCAGTGATTATCTTTCAATTAAAATTTTTTGTGTTTCTTTAGTTTCTGGTTTTCTTATAAAAATATGTGTCACTTTTATGCTAAGAAAAATTAAATCACTTTACAATTCTGCAGAAGAAAAAAATGAAAAGAAATTATGTAATATTCTTTGAGATTTTGGAACAGTCACCAGACTTCTAAAAATAGTAAAACAATAGTTTGTGTATGAGAGGAAGCACATAAAAAGTTTTAAGTCCAAAGCTGTTGCTCAGTACATGAAAAAACATGGATAAAAAATATAATTTATGGTGTTTCAGTGTTAATAATGATAATACTTAAAGGTATATAATACTTAAAGATAGATCATTTCAGTTATAAATATAATACACCATACTGTGCATTTATTCTTATACATAGTATTGTAAGTTCAGAAAATTCATGGACAGTGTAGAAGCCATGGTCAGTACATCATTTTTACTGAGGAAAAATACAAGTTTTGAAACATCAGCATTTTACCATTGTTTCTCCAATTCATTCAGGGGTAGATGCGCCTGAGATGAACGAGGAACAGAGCAAGGTTTATAACAATGCCTTGGTAAGCTGGCACCATCCGGAAAAGGACAAGGCTGATGGATTTGTTCTGGAATATCGGAAAATTAACCGAGATGAGGACATGTCATGGGGCGAGGTCCAAGTGTGCGGCACAAGCAAAGTCGTGTCTGGTCTCGAAGATGGCAGTCACTATGCCTTCCGGGTGCGAGCGTACAAGGGCTCCATCTGCAGCCCCTGCAGCAGAGAGCTGATTCTCCATACTCCACCGGCTCCAGGTACTAGGGCTGGCGGGGGCAGAGACCTTCACAGTAGGAACCAGTCTCCACGCCAGTGTACACTGAAAGCAGCTGTTGCTCTTTGAAGACTCTGAACAGGTAGATTCCATACTGAGCTGGGACAGGGAAATGAGCTGAATAGTTGAGTGTTACCCTGTAGGCTGAGCATAAAAATTCGATTTTGACTGATTTCAATCAGCGGAACATGAAAGGAAGGTATATGAGCAGAGTTGGGATTAAAATAGCGTGAACACTACCTTAAAAGTTTAAATAGTATAATTTGAATTTTTGGTCAGTTTATAGAAATCTTTATGCTATATCTGGGACAATATTTTTAATGTTTTTCCTGAAGTTTCATTTCGATTTAGTCTAACTCTGCCTTGCCTAAGCTTTCTAGCTAACTTGTGCGATTCTTGACACATGGAGAAGGGTCACACACATTAGCACCACATGATTGGCTTTGTTCCCCTCCACTAAGAGGTCCCTCCCTCCCCCTCCAAGTTAAATCCACTGATACTAATTATACAGTGGGGATTTTTATAGAATGAAAATGACTTACAGGATAGGTCATGTTCATAGTGTCTCCATGGACAAGGAACATTCAGAACTAAAGCTGTGCTCAGTGTTTTTGGCAGGAAAACATTTTGCCATACCAGCCAGTATTGGAAATACCTTCAGCTGGTTTTTAGTCTCACTGTCCCTTGCCCATTTTTAGTGGCTTGTGTACCTATATTTTATGCAACATGTCCTTACTTCCCTTTTTTGTTCAAAATAGAATAGTGTGCCACCCATTGTGTTTGTCCAGGCACATGATGGCTCCAAAAAAGAAGTTAAAATGTGTATACAGTTGTCTGAAACTATTTTTCTTAAATTTTAATAAAATCTAACAGTTTTAGGAAGAATCTGCAAATGTAAAGTAAATATCTGACAGTTCATACTATTTCCTCTTTCTTTTCTAATCTCTTTAACCAAAAGTGGAAGCAAAAGGATCCTGGACATAGTTGCTGTTTTTAGTGACATAGTTGGGGTTGGGGAGGAGGAAAGGAAATGCTACGAGTTGTCATCCTTTTCGCTGAAAAACGCCATGTGAATAGGGGACTTTTCAGTGTATGGTGCCAGCTGGGAGATCTTGAAGCTAGAAAGAAGCAGGAGTGATCATGCCTGGAAGACTGGTGTGCCTCCCTAGGGAGTACAGCTTTAGCTTGCTGACAGCAATTTTTTTAATGGAGGTGTACAACATAAAATTCACCGTCTTAGTCATTTTTAAATATGCAATTCAGTGACATGAAATATGTTTATAGCACTGTGGCTGTTATCACTTGCAAATCCAGAACTGTTTTATCAATCTACAGTGAAAATTGCACCCATTACACAGAAACTCCCCATTCTTTCTCACCCCAGAGACTGCTAATCCATCCTGCTCTTTTGTCTGTGAATTTTCCTATTCTACCTACCTCATGTAAGTGGAGTTGTGCGGTATTTGTTCTTTTGCATCTGATTTATTTCACATTTCATTCTTGGTGTAGCTTATGCCAGAATATCCTTCCTTTTTAAGGCTTTTAACGTCTTCCTTCCTAAGACTGGATACTATCCCACGGTATGCACATACCATATTTTCATTATCCATTCACTCATCTGTTCATGGACTTTTGCATTGTTTCTGTATTCCCTAGCAACCAGTGTTACACTTGAAGGATTTGAGTTGACGGAAGTTACAAGAGTGGTATTACCACCATTCTGTAGATGAAGAGATTAAAGTTTAAGTCAAACTCTACTGAAATGTTTGAAGAGGCTGCAAACCTTGATCTCTTAACTCCAAAGCCCATGACCCCCCAAACCCTACCATGTTTCCCCTGGGTCTTTGTCACTTTCTCACCACTGAGACAGGATATTCAATACCCAGCACTGAGGGAGAGGTTGACTTTGGCTCACAGTTTCCGTCCCTGCTCTGCTGGCCATACCGCAGAAACAGGATGGCCTAGGGCGTGGTGGAGGAACCTAGTGGAGGAAAAAGTGCTCGGCTCACGGCAGCTGGAAAGCAAAGGGAAAGGGAGGAACTGGGAGAGAGATACACCCTTCCAGCTCATGGTCCAGGGACCGCCTCTCTGACCAGGCCTGATTTCCTCACAGCACATTCGGCTGTGAGCTCATGGGTGGATTCAGCCACTGAGAGGTATCGCACCCCCGTGACCCACGCTGCTTCCAGGAGCCCTGCCTCTGAACACATGGGACATGTGAGGCACAGTCTAGGTCTGAAGCATTAGATCTTGTCTGACAGGTTTATTGAGAAGCAAAAGACCTTATTAAAAGTAGCTAAAATTCTCTGAACTTGCAAAATTTGGAGGAGATACTTATGAAAAGGTATTACCTTTTAAAGATAAAAGAACAGATGCACTCAGTGTGAAATTTCTATTTCTCTGTTTCAAAGAGGTGCACATACAGGTTTTTATATACATTGAAAATACTTTTCTGTTTTTGAACTTGGTGAAGATTTTCCATTGTAGAGAACACACTGGAAGTTATTGCTGGGTTGAAGGTTGGGTTTGACGTAGTTGTCCGGAGAGGCAGGATGCCTTCCTCTTCCCATTCCTTTTCAGTAATCTCTATTTGAAAAATATTTCAAGTTAGAAAGGTGAGTAAATAATTTTCAGGCTAACTTTAGATTAATTTTAAGCTCTTGTTTAGTTTTCAGTTTCCTTTTTGATGAAAAATGTGGCTATAATAACGAACGCCTCCTGCTAAACTTGAAGAGAGATCGAGTGGAGAGCCGAGCCGGATTTACTACTCTGCTCGCTGCAGAACGCATCCAAGTGGGTTATTACACGAGCTTAGACTACATCATTGGAGACACTGGGATTGCAAAAGGGAAGCATTTCTGGGCCTTCCGCGTGGAACCGTACTCATACCTGGTGAAAGTGGGAGTTGCTTCCAGTGACAAACTGCAGGAATGGCTCCATTCTCCCCGGGATGCAGTTAGCCCAAGGTAGAGTCCTGTGTTCATCTCAGACTTAAAATTTATTTTAAAAGTAAATATCCTTGTTTAGCAAGGATAAACTGAAGGTAGAATTGGGTTATTTATTTATTTGAAGTATGTCTTTCTTTGATTTAGGTATTTGGGTTTTGCCTACGTGGCTGGCTTAGGAAGGGAGTCAAGTTGCCTTGAATTCATACATTGAATAATAATGTTTATCAGTTAAGTTTTGATGTGATAGGAATCAGTTTGAAATTTTAGAAATCTTTTACATGGTACCTAAATTATATCATTGAAAAGCATCCAAATTCACAGTAAAATGGTCTAATTGCCATCCTTTGTTAGTACCTCTTTGCAGTACATAATGACTGAATTCGTTGTGGGGAGTTGGTACACGTACATAGCACATCTTTTTACATCCTCTTCCGTCCTTCACCATAGATATTAAGTTGTTCTTTTGTTAGGAAATGCAGTTTCTTTAAACTTTCCCATTTTGTCTTTCACAAAATTGTGTTCTCTTAGATATTTTTTCTACAGCAACTAATTTCAATTTCTTGAGACTAAATAATGAAAATTGTAGTGTAGCTGGGGGTTTAGCTCAGTGGCAAAGCGCCTGCCTGGCAAGTGCAAGGTCGTGAGTTTGGTTCCCGGTACCGGAGAAAAACCAAAAAAAAAAAAAAAAAAGAAAGTGCTCTTTAGGGGCTAGGGACTTAGCTCAGCGGCAAAGTGCCTGCCTGGCAAGCCCAAGGTCATGAGTTCGGTTCCCGGTACCGGAGAAAAACCAAAAAAAGGAAAATTGTAGTGTAGCTTATTTTATATGGGTTACAGTAAACTAGCCACAAATAAGTTTTGGCCATTTATGTGAGCAGTATCCCAGATTAACAATCTTACAGGAAACACTTTTTGCACAGATATGTGACATGTACATAACACTGAGTTGTGTAGAGATATGGTTAAACATAGTGGCATGCCCACTTGATAAGATTTTGGTATTAATGGTTAAGGAGTTTGTAACATGAAAAATGCTAGAAGCAAAAACCTAATTAAAATCATTGGCACAGTGTGACCCCATATCTACAAAAACAAACTAGGCCTAGGGAAAAAAGAGGAGGGATTGTGTATCAAAATTTATTTTATAATAAATGAAAAACAACTTCATAATCCTTTCTTAATGTAGAAATCTCAGGAAATAAAGTTCTCAAAAGGATCATTAAACAGGCTGTTTTTCTCTTGTATTATTTTGCAGTGCCTGTTTAGTTTACTTAGTTTGATAATTCCTTGGAGTAAGACATACATCTTTGTGTTATCTTTTACACTTTTATGCCATAAATGTTTAGTCCTTGACCATCCCATTCAATGCCTTCTTCCCTGCTTTATTTCTAGGAGGCCAGAGTTGTTAATGAAATTTTAAGTTGTCATTTGTATATATATCTAGGTAAAAGTGGATAAGGTCTTATGACGGGGAATTTGGGGCTGTGGTATAATTCTAAATGGCAATGGTCTGTCTTCGTGCTTTAACTATGTTTTAATGGGCAATTTTGCTGTAAAAGTTATGGTCACTTTAAATCAGTATACAGTATATTGTAGAAATGTTTTGAAGATACACCTTGCAGGTGTATAGATGAAGATACAAGTGCTATGTCTGTACGCTGTGTTTCAGGTATGAACAGGACAGTGGGCATGACAGTGGAAGCGAAGATACCTGTTTTGATTCTTCACAGCCTTTTACCTTGGTTGCTATCGGCATGAAGAAATTTTTTATACCCAAGTCACCTACTTCTAATGAACCTGAAAATAGAGTTCTTTCCATGCCAACAACTATAGGAATTTTCCTGGACTGTGATAAAGGCAAAGTGAGTTTCTATGATACAGAGCACATGAAATGTCTATATGAGCGCCAGGTAGACTGTTCGCACATGATGTACCCAGCGTTTGCATTAATGGGCAGTGGAGCTGTTCAACTTGAAGAATCTATCACCGCAAAATACCTGGAATACCAAGAAGATATGTAGTTTCAGTATCCCACGTGACTAGCATGGAAAATGTGAGCAGCGCAATGCCTCGCTGTTAGCTTTGTAATCAATTACATATCATCCAGCTCTTCTGGCACGATTCTTGTCTTTGGTGTATGATTCTCCTTAAAACACAGAAAACCTAAGCAGCCTTATCTCTTCCATGTTGTCGCTCTGCCTTTCACAAATTTCAGTGAAGACATTTGTTCCTACTTAATACTGAGTGGCTAAATTTGCAACTGGATTGTATTTATGTTTATGAGCAGAGAATTTAATTTATTTATGTCAGCTGGTATTGTTAATACATTCCTTTGCGGGGTGGGGGAGGTATACAGAAGTATTTATTATGCTTCTTTTGCGTTTGATTTTTCATTTTTATATCATTTATGTCTTCAGATATTTTCAAAATGTCTATGGAAAGAAGTTAGTATTAAGGAGTGTGTCTCACATTTTAAGTTTTAATAGGAAAACAAAGCTATAGGTAGGATTTTTAAAAAGGCCATAAAAATGGTAGTATGCTTGAGTGGAAGATTATGTGCTTTAAAGTGTGTAACAGACTATTAAGAGTATATTGCCTGGAAAGTGACTGCTACTGGTTTGTTCTGTTTTGCTTTTGTAGTACTGGAGATTGAGCCCAGGGCCTTTGCTTGTACGCCCAGATCTTTATTCTTTTTATTTTTGAGACATGGTCTTGCTAAGTTGCCCAGGCAGGACTTGAGCTTGCAATCCTTGTGCCTCAGCCTCCCTCAGTGCTGGGATTACAGGTGTGTGCCACCATGCCTGGCTTGTTTTGTTTTTTTAAAAGACCACAAACTGTATTGATAAGGACATTTTTTAAAGAGTTCCCGTAGCTGTCATGCCTATGAACTGGCTTATGTAGTAAGTGTGGTTTCTTGCAGAAAATATGAAATTCTTGGCTAACTTACAAAACTTTTCACTTCATAGTTTTAAATTAATCTTCATTTTTCCTATTCTATGAAAACGTTTACATCAAAAATTTTTTTCAGAAATATTAATGAAGCTGGAATATTGAAGTCATATTTATTCTTTTGCGCTCCTCTGTGTCTTGTGTTTTTTATTTTTTGGCACAATGTTAATGTATGAGATTTTCCTGGTTTATGTTTACAGATCTGAAGAGCTCATGATATATTTTTAGTAGCATTAAATATATTACAAAATGTTAAGCAACTAATTGGTTGATTGGAATTTTTTACAGGTTATTTTTGGTAATAATCTATAGTATAAGCAAATAAGAATAAAAATTTAATGACTTAGGAATAGTAACTGAAATCATAATCATTGTACCTTTTAAAATATTGACCTTTCTTTCAATTGGGATAATTACTTCTTTGTTTTTTGAAAGATGTTCTTTTAGCTAGGTGATTTTTATTTAAACTGCATATTTTTTAAGTTAAAATGTTCAGAAACTATGACTGTAAATATATTATAGCATTGATCAGTTGTGGAATGCTGTTGACACATTTTAATAGAGTAACCCAAACTCTTGAGGGCTGTTTTTTATTCTCGTTTTTAAGAGAAATCTGTTATTCAGATTAGTAGCACTACATTATACCCCACCTCTACCCCAGGTAGAAGATACCATGGAGAGTGCGTGTTCAGCCATCTTTGTTGCTTTCTGTCTATGACTAGCACTTTATGACGCAGGCTGATTGTAATTATGCAGTGTTACGTTCATCATTGTGCAATAAAACTGTGCAAGTCATGGGTGTGGTTAAGTTTAATACTCAAGCTTTGGGTAAGCACATACCACGTAGGCATTTTTAAATATAGAGCTTTAACAGGAATAAAAGAGCTGTTTCAGACAAATTGTAGAGTTATAAATTATTCAGCAGAATTTGTTTTGTTTTTCATAAAAATTAAAAGAAAGTCAAGTGTAATTATTTAAGTCTCCACTTCAGGAATTTTTAGTACGTTTTTGTGGAAAATTGAAACAATATTTATTACAGATATTTAATTGACACATTAATTTAAAGCTAAAGTTTTACAAAAGATTATTTTGGATTTTTTTATTAGTTGAGTTCTTGTGGCAGTGATCATTAGAAAAACTTAACATGAAATCTTTCACTTGGTTAGTTGGTCAGTTTGTGTTAAAATTTCTTTTCTGATCCTTTGATTAGATTTTGACCCGGTGAGTAGTCACTTAGTTCACACTCGTGCTGTTCCATTAGTTGTGGTTGTGGTAGTTGCGGTTGTTAGTGGATATAACAAGTTACTAATGCTTGATGGGTCTTAATTTTTTCTTTGGTTAATAAAATAGATTCAAGGCTATTATTAAATGGTAACTCTTATATTCACCCTTTTTTTTTAATAAGTAGTAAAAGAATTGTCGTCTTGCCGGATCCAGCATAGTAGGGATGTGTTAAATCCTTTGCCAGGGTTTATAATCTAGAACTCTGCGCAAGCATCTGATATAGGAATACAATCAGTCCTGCTGTAAAAAAAGATGGAGAGCCAGTGTAGTAGGCAGGAGTCTTTTCAAGAAACTGTGCTGTAGTTGACAAGATTTGCGTTCATTTTAAAGGAGTTTATCTGCTTATTTGTGGTAACATCCTGGCAATGGAGGATTGTTTTGTTCGTTTTTTCATCACAAGGGATTTTGAACTAGGGCTACCGCTACTAAGTTATAGCCCCAGACCTTTTTATTTTGAGTTAGTGTCTCACTAAATTGCTTGAGCTGACCTTGAACTTGTGATCCTCCTACCTCAGCCTCCCAAACAGCTGGGATTACAGGTGTGTGTCTCTATACCTGGTGTCATTTTTGTTTTTAAAAAATGGGCTTATAGAGTAATTTTAGGTTCGGAGCAATTTAAGAGGAAGGTAGAGAGATTTGCTGTATCGCCTTTGGCTGCACACAAACATAGGCTCCCCATTGTCACATCCCTCACTGGAGTGGTGCGCTTGTGTCCTCCGGCGGGTTTACATTAACACCTCAGTGTCACTTGGAGTTCATAGCTTACATTAAGGTTCACTCGTGCTGGTGCATACTCTGTGGTTTTGACAAGTGTATAATGTTATTTGTTCAGGGTAGAATTGTACAGAATAGTTTCACTGCTCCAAAAATCCTCTGTGCGTGGTGTCTGTTCATCTGACATACCCTCTCTCTAATTCCTTGAAAACACTGATCTTTTTACTATTTGGAGTTTTGCCTTTCTCAGAGTGTCATTAGTGGGAATCATGCAGTCTATAGAGCGGGCTTCTTTCCTGATATACATGAAGCCTTGTGCATGTCTTTTGTAGCTTTACAGTTCATTTCTTTTTCAGTGAGTAATACTTCACTGCCTAACGTACCAATTTATCCATTTACCTACAAAGGACATCTTGCTTCCAAGTTTTCACAGTTACAAATAAAACTGTTATAAACATCCACATGTAAGTTTTGGGGTGGACAGAAGTTCTCAGCACTTTTGGGTAAATACTGAAAAGATCGCTTGTTTTATCACATGGTAAGAATGTGTTTAGCTTTGTAAGAAGCTAGCGAACTATCTTCCAAAGTGTCTGTATCGTGTTTCGTTCTCTAGTTAGGCTTCCCCTTTTGTCTGTATGTTAAAGACTGAAGTGTTAAAGAGTGACTGGCAGTTTTGTATTCGAGAGCTGATTGGCTGTTGGCCTTCACTGTGGCATTGTCAAGCAATAAGGTGGCTTCTGTTGGGTCCTGTCCTTTAATCAGTATATGTAGGTCTTTTCTCAGGATGTTCATTTTTCTCTAATGAAAAAATTCTTGATCTTCTGTCTGGATAGTGGTTCTTCAAAGCCGTAGTAGGGACTAAGCTGAGATTCCATCATTCTGTAAGCAAACTGTATTTTCCTGACTTCTGTGTACCTAGTGTCCCTGAGTGAGAGGCAGTCCCAGTTTCCTTCAGAATCTCTACCCCCTGTGTTCCTTGCAAGTTATTGATGGTGATAGCCAGGAGAGGGGAGAGGTAAGCATTATATTTATACAGTTTTTAATCACTTTTATCTGTTTCTAGGTACCACGTTTAAAACCAGCGATCTACTCTTTAGATTACACCTGTCCACCCCTATTGTATTTCTCATCCTTTGCTTTGTTTTATATGGGACTCATTGGTCTTTTGGGTTTTTCAGTACCGGGAATCAAACACAGGACCCCACGCTTGCCAGGCAGGCACTGAACCGCTGAGCTATATTCCTGACTCCTCTTTTACTGTTTTGGTTTTTGGTGGTTTTTTTCTGGGGATCAAATGTTCAGAGCTGGCATGCATGCCAGGCAAGTCCTCTATCATAAGCTACACATTCCCAGCCCTCTCCAAATTTAGCAGTTGTTTCCTGTAAAATGTAAACTCTATAAAGGTAGGGTTTTAACTCAGTTTTTTTATTGCTGTTGTTCCCAGATTGATTTTTAGGCCTGTGACTTACCTTTGCCCTTGTACATGAGTACCTTTAGAAATTAACATTTCTCATAAAATTTCTTGCCTTACCAGTTCTGCCAATACCTTTGATAAGCAAAATGTTTGAATTCCTTCTTGAAGCATGCCCAATAGGCCTTGAAGTTGTTGGTTGATAAAGGAATTCTGTACATGTCCTTGAAGTTAAGTACAGTGGACCTGCAGTCCCAGCTGCTTGGTAGGCCCAGGCAGAAGGATCCTGCTCAGAAGCCAGTTGGGACAGCACCCTGAGACCCCCCCTGGAGGCAGAAGAGTCCTTAACAAGTTGTAAAGGTTAATACATTGTTGTCCTTGAAGAGCTGATCTTAAAGTTCACTTTAGTTGTTTATAGGCTTCTAGGGAGTGGCCCCCATAAGCATATAAATGTGGGTAATGGGTTTTTTTTTTTGTCTTTTTGAGACAGGGTCTCACTATGCAGTTCAGGCTGGCCTTGAGCTTACTTTGTAGCCCGGGCTGGTCTCCAACTCACAAAGATTCTCCTGCCTCAGCATCTCCCGAGTGCTGGGATTATAGGCATGCGCCACCACACTCAGCAATTTTTTTTTGCTACAGGAATCGTCACGGTAGTAAGTGCTCATTTGACTTCGGCAGAACATTCTATGGAACACATTGCACAAACACAAATAACAGTACAGACTTCTGGGCCCTAATTGGTTTAGGGTAATATCTGAGGTTT